CTCGTGAGAGGCCTCTGTCTGCTGAGTGGTCGTTGGCAGAAGGAGACTGTAAGGTTCGGTTTGTACAATTAACTTTCTCTCTTCCTTAAAAATGTGGTGTGTGTCCCCCCCCCCACTGCAGAAACACAAAGGATATCGCCCCAGCAGCATCCACACCTCCGAAAAGTCTCGGTATCTGAGTCGAATGTCCTTCTGGATGAAGAGGTGCTCACCGATCCCAAAATCCAAGCTCTTTTACTTACTGTGCTTGTAGGTACCCATCTTATCTTGTACTGAAGACTCCCCTGTATTTCTGGCATCTGAACATGGCTGCATGTTTTTATCCTGTTTTGTTTTCTTTGAGCTGGTCGCTGTTGAGTCAAAGCTGTGTTCTCTTTTACTTACTGTGCTTGTAGGTACCCTTCTTCTTGTACCAAAGACTCCCCTATATTTCTGGCATCTGAACATGGCTTCGTGTTTTTGTCCTGTTTTGTTTTCTTCGAGCTGGCCGCTGTTGAGTCAAAGCTGTGCGTGTGAGTGATGCTCTCTCTATATACAGTGGTGCCTCGCTTGACGAGGATAATTCGTTCCATTGAAATGGCTGTTAAGCAAAATCCTCATCAAGCGAAATGAAAAAGCCCATTGAAATGCATTGAAACCAGTTCAGTGCGTTCCAATGGGCTAAATACGTCAGCGTCCAGCAAAGATCCTCCATAGGGGCGGCCATTTTCGGTGCCTGTAAAGCAAGGAATCCGTCCTGAAAACACAGCAGGGAGCCATTTTGCACAGCGGGCAGTCATTTTAGAGCCGCCGATCAGCTGTTTCAAAATCGTCGTTTAGCGAAAAATCGGTTCCCGAAACGGGACCGATCGTCGTTAAGTGAATTTTTACCATTAAAACATCGTTTTGCGATCGCTTTTGCGATCGCAAAAACTTCATCGTCAAGCGGTTTCGTCGTTTAACAAAGTAATCGTTAAGCGAGGCACCACTGTATATACAAACTCCAAGTACAGTAGTTGGCCCCCGCCCCATATCTGCAGAGCCGGTATCTGCGGTTTCAGCCCGCAAACCAGCCTGCGGCGCCCACTTTGCATATTGCCCCTCCTCTCGCTCTTCCCTGCTCCTCTCAGTCTCGCCCATTCTCTCGAATGGGTTCAGTCGTATCTGCAGTTTCAGGTATCCACAGTTGAACCTGGAACAAATCATGCACAGAAAGAGGGGGGCGTGTTGTTGTTCACCTCCGATTTAGGGTGACTCTATGAATGTGCAATCTCCAAAATGTCCACTCTTCCACTGCCCTGCTCAGATATTGGGTAGGTATGGGGACTATGATAGTTTTTTAAATGGCTGTTGAGGCTGTGGGAAGGGAAAGACAGGGTGGTGCACAGACATTGCCTGAATCAGGTTGGGTGGCATCAAAGTACACCGTAGTTGTGTTGTGGGTTCATGCAGTTTTCTTCTTAAACGTAACAAGGAAGAGCGTAAGGTACGCTACACCCACGAAGGGGTAGTCAGTAAGTGTGAAAGGAAAGTTTGAGATGTAATTCTAGGTAGGGATGACAATTTAAATAATTTCAAGGGATACCCTTTCAACGGTGGCAAAGAGGTTAAAATGTCTCAAAGAACCGCTGGGGATGTGCTTACTTTGAGGTCTCTCAGCCTCCCTGTAGACTAGCACAGCGCTGTCCCTCTAAAACAGGAATTATCGGAAGTCACGTAGCACCTTAAGGGTCAAAACATTAAAGCTGTCACGTGGGCTTCCTTGAGCTCCCGCCGGCTTTATCAGCTGGTTCTGCATCGTCTTCTGAGATGCCCCCAGGGTACTTAGTGTGTTTGCTGCAAGGGAGGGAAACGGGGTGCAGAAGCGATGGGCCAATGCACGAGCCCCCGCCCCATATCTGCAGAGCCGGTATGCACGGTTTCAGCCCGCAAACCAGCCTGTGGCGATGGGCCGATGTACGGGTTTTCTAATGTTCTTCTGCCAAATTAAGAGAGATGCATCCTTTGGTGACCCACTCGTGTGGCTTTTTCTGCAGCGTGTTTTACCTGCAAAGTGTGATTATTAACCCGCAATGGCTCGCAGCAGTTCTGTGCTGATGGTTTTGCTCTTTCTCTTCCCCCACCCCTGCCCCACGTTTTGACTTCTTGGCAGGCAACGCTAGTGAAATATACGGCAGATGAGTTTGACCAGCGAATCCTGTATGAGTATTTAGCAGAAGCCAGTGTTGTTTTCCCCAAGGTCTTTCCTGTTGTGTAAGTGTCCAGCTTTTCATAACGAAGTTGCTTCCTGGAGAACGCTCGTCAGTAAGGGACCGCCTCGGGGGCCTCTTCGCACGTGGTCTGGGGGGAGGGTTAGAAGAACCCTCGAACCAGCGGGCGCAGGCTCATGGGGGAAACGTGGGAGTTGCAGAAGTAGATGCATGTGAGACCTTGGCCTGAAGCAGACCACAGGGGATCTTAGACAATGCTGAGGACAGGGGCAGGCTAGCTCTGGAAGGAGTTTTTCTAGCTCCAGGCTTGCCAAACCAGCCGCGCAGCATAAAGCGACCGGAAGGAAGTCGAGAAATGAACAAGCTGATTTCCAAATTGAGAAGTGTGTGTGGGGGGGAACGGGACGCCTGTATGTTTTGCTAAAAGAAGGGATCGGTGCAGGCCTTGTTTTAGAGGACAATTGTGTTACTTGGAGGTACAATTCTTCCATAAGGGGAATCCTCAAATATTGTGAAGGGGGTCTGGAACCATGAAAATAGCCAACCAAGCAGACCCAGGTAGCCAGCAGGCTTCCTAAGTCCTGCCTCTGCTTTTGTAATGGGAGAGTAATGAGTTAAAGCACTTTTCTGTATGTGAAAACAAGCCCCCCTCCAAAAAAAATTAGCAAACAACAGTTCGGTTGGAGGGATTTCTCCTGATGGAACCGAAGCCAGCTTGATATCTTTAGCCAGTGCTCTGCGGAGAGGGGTTGGTTAGCTAAAGAACCTTTACAGTCCATTTGCTCAGTGTGGGAAACATCAGCATTTGCACTGACAACCTCTTTTGTATTTTTGTTGCCTAGGCACAATTTGTTGGACTTCAAGATAAACACTCTGTTGTCTCAATGTCAGGATCCAAATTTGCTGAATCCGATTCATGGCATCCTTCAGAGCGTGGTCTACCATGAGGAATCGCCCCCCCAGTACCAAACCTCCTACCTACAAAGTAGGTCTCTTAACGGTGCCTTTCAGAAATGAAGAAAAGGTTTTTCTTGCATATAAAAGCCATCGAGAATGTAATAGTAAACAATTACGTGCCATCAAGTAAATTCTGACTTAGGGCATCCCTTTTTCAGGCTTTCTAGATAGAGAGTACTTGGAAGTGATTGACCGTCCCCTTCTTATGGGAGGCAATCCTTGGGACTGTGCAGCTTGCCCAAGGCTACACAGGCTGGCTCTAGTGGCAAGACACAGTGGGGAATTGAACTCCCAACCTCTAGCTCAGCGACCTGAACCACTGGGCTATACGCCAACAAATCATGTGCCATCAACTCAATTCTGACTTACGGCAACCGTCTCCAGGTAGTCAATACTCAGAAGTGATTGACTATTCCCTTCTTCTGGGGAGCGCCCTGCGACGGGGGAGCTGGCCCAAGGCCACCCAGGCTGGCTGTTCTCCTAGAAAGCACCGTGGGGGAATCAAAACTCCCAATCCCTGGCTCCACCGCCAGAGACCTAAATCACTGAGCTATCCAGCCAGCAAGGATCTATAAAATACGTCTACCCCTCTCACGTCTTAGAAAAATTATTTGAGTGAGCAGAACTCCAAAAATCTCCCACCCAGTGTGCCCATCATGGGTGTGGGGATCCTGGGAGGTGAGAACAGAACTTTTCCAAGCTCTGCCCCTGCTTTTTCAAAAGATAGGCTATCTTGTCTTTGAACGGAAAAATACCCATTTAGATTTAGATTTGGATTTAAATACCAAAGGACTGCTTTTCCTGTGCCCTTGACATCCTCCACCAAGGATACCTACTGCTTTTCCTCACCCTCCCTCCAGAGGCAGAACCTGACATCAGGAGCACGTGGCCCGTTTGAAGGGGTCAGAAGAAAGGACACACAATTTTATGCACACCTCCATGGCCTCCTCCCTCTGGCTTTTCTCTGTTGGGATTCCCCCTTCTGCGCTTTAGATCCCTCTTTTAGCCACTTGCTGCTCACGCCTCATTTAGAACGGGTCTGAATGGCTCTTTTTAAAATATATATATTTGCCCTTCTCCTTTTGAGAAAGGGAAAACAATGCGTTGAATTTTTTTTTTTTTACACCACATGTATGCCTTTCGGTTTATTGAAATTGCCTGCAGCTTTCAATTTCTGTATTTTAGTGGCTATTATATCGAAGGCGGATTTGATAGCGATAGATGACATTGCAGAAAGAGTGCCGGTTTTAATCATAAAAAGATTAACAGCAAGGCTTTTATAAGATGTTAATTACTTATAAAGCGCCCATAATTTCTCAGTATGCTGCACTGTGCTTATTAGATCTGTTCCCCACATGTGTGGCGTCTGTCTTAATTTCTCTATCTTGGGTTGCTTTGCTTGTGGGACTGGCTGTTGAATGTAGAGTAGGTTTTTCTGAAAAACGATTGGATTTAAGGCTGAACACGTTCTACACCTGTGATCTTAAGGTGCGCATAACGAAGAGTCTTGGCTTTCTCTAAAATACAGTCCATTCCTTGAGTGCATGACATATACAGTGTCAGGGCCTCTGAATGGCTTGGCTCACGCAAGTTATAGTTGGGTCCTGTGATTATCAAGAAGCAAGTGCAGTCTTGACGGCAGAATTTTGAAAAATGCTTGCAAATCTTCCCCATGTGTTTGAACCTTTCTGTCGTCTTCCTAACTCGGCTGCTCATTCTCTTCCTCTTCTTGCCATGTCTTGGTTGCAGGTTTCGGATTTAATGGCTTGTGGAGGTTTGCGGGACCATTTTCTAAGGTGAGGATGAAATGGGGATGATGCCCTGCTTGTGCTTTTTCTCTGATTTCTCGTCCTATAGGGGGCGTGAGGCGATTCGATCGTGTCAGTCTCCATAAGCCTGCACCCACATTGATTTTTAACGAGCCTGCAACACTTGAGTTGGTCAGCTGATTAAAAGGCATGTCGAGGCACTTAAAAACCTGTCCCTCACCCATTGTGCGCTGTTGATTTCTTACTTACAGAGACGGTGGCAAGAATATTGTTGGCTAGTTATGCTAGCATGACTGCGGTGGCTTAAACAACATCAGGGATTGGCCACTGGTTTGTGAATTCCTGCTTGCATCCCCAGCCACGTGCCGGTCACAAAAGTTGTTGTGCAGCGAGAGATACATGCAGCAGCTTGTCAACCTTGCACAATTTGGTGGCCCAGTTTACGCCGCTCCACTTTTGCTGGTGAAACTCACACCAGTATTCTGGTTTTGCAGGGCACAAACATCAGAATCAGAATTCCTTCCTTGTTAACTTTAAATATGGTCTTTTAATTAGGTAAGCTCCACCTCGGGTCCTTTTAAAGGAGAAAAGTGGAGTAAAACTATCTTAAATAAATATTAAAACCTAAGTTTGGAATGTGTTCCAAGACTCGTGCAGGCCAGTTATCCTCCCCCACACCACAGCTAATCCAGAAATAGTCGGCTAAAGCATCCCTGATGGACAGCCATCCAAAACTCACACCAATCCATCATCTTCTAAGGCAGGCCATCCCGCTATTGGCCACCTCTCCATTTCTAAGGGGTTGCCATTGCCTTTCTTGCTGTTGGAACCCATTGGTTCGAATCCTGACCCCTGGAGCAGGAGAAGATCAACTTTGGCACACACACACACACCCTGTACATCTGTGTGGCAGTGCTTTTCTGGTTTCTGAAACGGCTACCCTGCCTTATGCCAACCTACCATCTGCTCTTCATGGCCTGGCCTTTCTGGGTTGCCCCCCCCCGCCCCCGCCGAGCCAGACCTGCTGGTCCTCGAGTTGGCAGAAAATAGCCGCTCAATGGAAAGCTAGGAATCGAGAATGTTGCAGTTAAGCCTTGCGAGGCTTTTGGGGTTCTAACCCAAAAATATATTTTTCCGAATTTCATACTCTTCTCTGTAAGCAGAAAGTTGGTGGCTTTTGTTTTGTTTTGTTTAAACGAGAACCGTGGCTTAAAACTGAGGAACGGGTCTCTTTTTCTCCCATTTCCTCAGCAAACGCAGATCCCAGACTACGCTGAGCTCATTGTGAAGTTCCTCGATGCCTTGATCGACACCTACTTGCCTGGCATTGACGAAGAAGCCAGCGAGGAGTCGCTGCTGACGCCCACGTCGCCTTACCCTCCGGCGCAGAGCCAGCTCAGCATCACCGCCAACCTCAACCTCTCGAATTCCATGACCTCCCTTGCAACCTCCCAGCATTCCCCAGGTCAGTCTGCCAGGCTCCCTGGGGGGGGGGAGCGGAGAGGGGCAAAAACCAGCCCTCGAACGTCCCTCGTACCTTGGAAGCACAGTTCGGGGTCCCCGCAAGCCGCTCCCGACTCAGCGGATATAACATCACAACAACGTATCTTGTCTTGGGGTTCTTACGGGCATAAAGGGTGGATAAAATAAAGACAAAGCAATGCCACTTAGAGAGGGGTAGATTTGGGCGCCATTCTCTGGCATTTCAGTTGCCCGATCGTGGTGAAGCGTGTTTTCATTCGTGGCCACAAAAAGCAGCCGCTAGGGTCAGTGTGGATGTTGCTGGATAACTGTGCAGGATTTCACGCTGGACACAGAATTAGGTACCCTGAATATTTTGGGTTTGCATCCTTTTATTGCTGGAAATTTTCTTCAAAGAAAATCAAGCAAGCTCAAGGCACACACATGACTCAGGCAGTCACGGGTTTCTCAAAGAGTGTCTAGGCAGGAGGTTTCAGATTGGCTCGTGTCTTCGCGGTGAGTCTGTGCCTGCTTCTCATGCACCCACTACGGGGGTAGTAAGGACTTCCTTTTTGAGCTGGGATACAGAAAAAGCAAGTATATACACATGGTCTTTTTTACATCACGCTCCGGCAATGGAAAACGTATGGCTGCTGGACTTCAGGTCTCATCAGCCCCTGCCATCAGGGACCAGAGGGGGTTTGGGGTTGGGGATGATGAGAGATGTAGTCCCAAACAACCCTGTAGAGAGTCGTACATTCCCTAACTTGGCAACCAGCCTGGCTTGAGGTTTGAAGGCACCATGAAGGGGTTGGGTTTTTGGGGGTGTGTGGGTTTTTTTTTTTTTGGTCTGTCACTTCCTTGAATTTGGCAACCAGCCTGGCTTGAGGTTTGAAGTGGCACCATGAAGGGGTTGGGTTTTTGGGTGTGTGTGTGTGTGTGTTTTTTTTTTTTGTCTGTCACTTCCTTGAATAGAAGAGGAAGAAGGTATTATGTGTAAGAAATAACCTCATTTTGTGGACTAGGCATCATTTAAACCCCCTCATGCAAACCCCCTCTTTCTGTCACATTAGAGGTAGATCAACCGTTAGGGTTGATCTCCCCTCATGCATGTCATTGAGAAAAGCTTTATAGTATTTTATAAATGCTTTAGAGATTATTTCTTACACATAATACCTTCTTCCTCTTCTCTTCAAGGAAGTGACAGACCAAAATGAGGGGAAATCAACCCATACTGTATATATGTATGTATCTTCAACAGCAAAGGAGAGTCTTAGAAAAAGACTAACGGGTCTCTAATGATGGTTTTGCACACGCGAGATACCACTGCTCTGTCATATCTGCTTTCTGTGGCCATTGAACACGCAGGGAAAAGCGACCTACAAAATGTGCTATGAGAAATTACTCCCACGTGGGCCTCCTTCATTTCCCCCCACCCCTCCAAGCAGCCATTGTCACCTCTTCCTTTTCTTATCAGTGTCAGATCCTCAACCCTGATTTCATACTGAAAGAAATGTGGTGGACCACAGTAGGACAGCTACGTGCTACGTTGGCCTGTTTTTTTCAAGGAACTTCTCCTGAACTTCTGGTTTGAGCCCATAAACAACAACGGGGAGGGATTCCCATTGAATGCCTTCCTAATTTAGTTTCGGTCCCTTCTTTCCTTGCCCTTCTGCCTCGGTTCCCTTTAATACGCCCAGCGGAAGGGTTTCTAGGTGCTTCCCCCATCCAGATCTTGATCTGGGTAGGCGGTAGCAAATGTCACGTAAGAGGTTATTTTACTTGTCGGTCAAGTCTTTTAAGAGTCAGCTGGTAAAAATTTGGCTCTCAAAAAAGGGAATGAAAAGATATCAGCATGACAAGACATTTGTGCCCGTTTTATCTGCTGGACTGGGTTTCGTTGGCTTCTGTAGCAAGAGCTGGTTCAAGAAAGGATGACTCTGAAGGCCAGTATTTCATCCCGGGTGCTCAAAACAGGGCTGCGGGTAGAACTAGATCTGCTTTTTTAAAAGCCTATCCCTTGTTTTAAGGCAGAACTGTCACTCTCTTTAAATTAAGAAATAGTAGGACCGATGCTTGGATTACTGTCTGGAAGGAATATTCTATCATCATGGTGCTACCACATAGAAGACCATGTTCCTCCTCATTGTCGGAGGTAGGGAACCATTGGTTTTTAGAATCCCATAGCCTGTGTCCCTGCTGCCTTTCCAATTCTGGAAGTTGAAATCCAAAAGAAAACAGAGCACAGCCACAACAAACGCTTGCCATCAGCATCTACCACGATCTGGAAGGATTGGGGTCCTGGAAAGTATAGCATCTGATACTTACTTCTTTGATAGATTCAAGGTACAATTCATTCAATTAAGGTGAAAACCTGGTAGCAAGGATATGAAGAGGGATTCCAAACAGGGGTCAGTTTCTCTTGTTTTAAGTCCTGTTGAAGTGAATTTGGAAGACAAGGCAAAAAAGCAAAGTGTGCTGTATATTTACTTCCCCATAACACTTACAGCACACCCTGGGCGGTTTATAATTTAATTATGCAAAACCATCACCCCTCTCCCAGCAAGCTGAGTACTCAGTTTACCAACCTCAGAAGGATGGAAGGCTGAGTGAACCTTGAGCCGGCTGCCTGGGATGAAACCCAAGTCGTGAGCAGAGTTTTGACCGCAGGACTGCAGTTTAACCACTGTGTCTCACAGAGCTCATTTCAACCTAGGTTGTGTTGAGGCCTTTTCGGTCCTGTAAGGCAGCTTCGTGGGGTTGTTGTTCACAGACACAAGCTGTGTGGCTGATTGGAACAGGTGTGGTCTTGGAAAAATCGTATCTTGTAGGGTAGAAAAAATATATATATTTTTGGCATCCCCTTTTTGTTCAGCGTTCCTTAGAATGAATCTAAAATAAAGTGTGTAAATAACGACAGGTAAATATGTGCAAAAGGTTGCCAGGGTGCGGCCCCCGTCTCGGATCTAGAGAGATGGAAGGCCGCTACATAATCGCCGTTCTGTAAATATTTTTCTGTCTTCCTCCCAGTCATGAATGTTGATCACTCATCTTTTCTCTTTCATTCTGTGTCTGCGAAGCTTCTCTGCCTTGCTCTAAATCTGCCGTTTTCATGCAACTTTCTCATCCAGGTACACATTCTCTCTCTCGCCTCCCCCCTTTCCATGCTACCTGCACGAGCTGCTGCTTCGGTCTGTTGCCAGAGGTGGGGCCTCCCTACTGGGAGTAGGTTTTTGGGGGGAGGAGACGGGGTGCAAACGGTGGGCCAGAAAAAAAGAAGGGTGAGGGGGTGGAAACAGGCCCTGAGTGCATGAACCAGGACGCTTTTGCTGCAAGGCCTTTTGGAAAGCAGGATGTTTCCGGCCATGGAGCAGGAGAAGGAAACCCCGCCTGTGGACCCTATCCTAGCCTCAAAGGGTACCGGAGACACCTCGAAAGGGTAGGTAGGGTTAGACCTTGATGAGGAAAGACGGCAAGAACTGGGCAGTGTTTAGCCTTGAGAAAAGAAGACAGAAGGGAGATAGGACAAGCCGTTTTCAAATATGTGGTAGTCATCCAGAGGAGGGGCAGGATTTCTTCTTGACCATCCCAGAGAGCAGGACACGCAACCATGGGCTCAAGTAAAAGGAAGCCAGATTTCGGTGGAATATCAGGAAAAACTTCCTAACTGTTAGAGCAGTACAACAACGGAACCACCTGGCAAATACCCTTTGATTTGTATTCCTGCCCTGAGCAGGGGGGTTGAAAGTACCTTTGAAATCCATGGAACATGGGTTATGGTTGACTTGCAGGTCCCATTCTTTGTGTTTACCGTTGGATTTAGACCTTGCATTGCCACCTTCCTGCTTCGACCGCAGCCTCTTCCTTCCATGCCTTATATCACTTCGGCACCACAGAGCTCAGCTCGGTCTTTTCCGTGCAACCTCCACCTTCCCGCCGCTGTTTGAGCTGCTTCTCGGATCTTAAGCCTAGGCCGAGCTCGTCCTTAAATGTGTCTGTCGGGGGGCGAGGGGGGACCTTTATGCATTTCATTTGTTGGTTTTCCGGAGCACGCCTTCGGCCACAACGGCCCCGTTCCCATACCACCACCACCACCCCGCTTCTCGGTCATTTTCTTCATTTGGTGTTTTTGTCCTTTTTTTGACTCTCCAGGCCTCGACAAGGAGAATGTGGAACTCTCCCCCACCACGACGCACTCCAACAGCGGGAGGACTCGCCACGGCTCTGCCAGCCAGGTGCACAAGCAGCGCAGCACCGGCAGCTTCAAGCGCCACAGCATCAAAAAGATCGTGTGAAACGTTCCCCCCCCCATTTCCATTCGGTATAAAAACTGACAGGCGTCCTCTGCCCGCCCTTCCCCTCCAAGCCCCCGATGTGGCTGTGCCGCACTTAATTCCGAACCTTTCTTCCTGACCCCTGGTCCCATCAGCCGTGGTTCCAGAAGATCAACGTTGGAGACGTTTTGCGTGACTTTTTCTTTTTCGTTGACCTTAAACAAGGGCACTTCACCCGTGCCGAGATTTTGCTTTATTTTGGTCTTCAGATATTTTAGAGGTGCATCTCCCGATACTCCAAAAATCGCTGCCTTCTTCTTCTTCTTTTTTTCTTTTTTTTTTTTCTCCTTTTGGGAAAGAGAACGGCACCAGAATTATGCCCATTCTGTGTTTCTGAGCTGCCGGTTTCTGAACCAGCGAACAGAACCAACTTTAAAAAAAAAAACAGGAAGAAAGGAAAGGAGGGTTGACACTGGCTGCATCCAGAGCTGGAAATGGCATCTTCCTCTGGCTCACACAGACACATACTTCGAACATGTTGGTCTTTCATTGTTGGGGCTGTTTTTTTGGTTTGGTTTGTCTGTTTTTTGTTTTTTTTAACAGTTCGTTTCGTGTCTCCTCTAGAGGGGGGAAGCGTTGAGATTCGATCTTGCTTGCACATTGGGTGGCTTTGTCGGCCAGCAGACTCGCCGGTAAAGATCCTGGTTTCCCTCCGAACTGCGCTTTAACCGTGGACTTCCTTCCGCTGGCCGCTCGGCCCCCACGGCGGGGCTGCCCGCCAGGCCAGAGAGAAAAAGACTTCACCCGTGCCGAGATTTTGCTTTAGTTTGGTCTTCAGCTATTTCAGAGGCGCATCTCCCGATACTCCAAAAGTCGCCTCTCCTTGTATCGAGCAGGCTGAAACGGCTCACCTTTTCTCGCTGACCTTTGAGTCTTAAATTTACCCCTCCCCAAAGTAGATCAGCAGGGCAGCCACCTAGAGAGTTACAGGCACAGAGTGGAAGGCGCTTCCCCCGGGTCCTATTCTGCCCCAGCCTGGAGGGGAAATCACAGCCATAAGGGGCAAGGGGGATTGCCCGGTGTCATGCCAACCTGGTCCCTACCACCATGGGGGGGGGGATCCCCGGCCATCTTGGGTTGATTTCAAGGGGCCCTTGGTAGGAAAACTCCACAGAGAGGTAAGTTGACGTTGTGTAGCCTTAGGTGACCTGTCCCCACAGAAGTTATGATTGATACTTTTACACACACAGACAGACAGACACACACACACCCTTTCCTCCAGCTTCCCTGTGACTTGTGTCCTGCGCAGGGCTTGGCCGCTTCAGGGGTCACCAGCAGAAGAGCCAAATTAAAACAGAGATTACTACCAGTCTTGACCACAGCATGGAAAAAGATCATGTTTTTGTACTGCAATCACCAGAATCCCCCAACAGGCATGGTCACTCAGCACTTTGGCCGGTGCGATTCGAGGACTTTTCAGGCAGGTACGTCAGCCATATCGCTCACACCTCGCCGTGGTGGTCAGCCTTGGCTCCCCCACCTCAAGTCCCACGGTATTTTCGGCTCTAGTGCCCAGAAACCCCAGCCAGCCTGGCCAACAGCTGGGGATTCTGGGATTTGAAGTCTAAAACCTACGGAGGGCTTCTGGTCGAGAAGAGCTGGCCCCGGCTGACTCACGGGGCTGCTTTGCAGACAACGTGGGAGGGACCGGCGTATACCAGCTCCTTGGAAGAAAGGAGAGGGATGAAGGTGGATGAAAATACATCATTTTGAAGAAACCATCAAATTGAGTTAAAACACGGTGGTTTCCATTTAAAGGGTCAAAACCAATTACGATTTAAATCAAGTCTACCCTGAGAGGGATATGAATTAAGTGCTTTAATAAGTACGCTCCGGCCCTTCTCTTCAACCCCGTGGGAAGGCCAGCGCAAGCAGAAGAGGTTGCCTAATGTAAGCCAGTCAGCTTTCAGGCGGAGAGGGGCTTCCGGCGTTGCTCTCCTCACATCTTTCTCTCTGATACATTAACCCCCACACGGTTGCACCATTCTGATTTGGCTGAAAGTCCCACCCAGCAGAAATGCGTCCGATAGAAACTGCTTTTCGGTGTCTTAAAAATAGGCCATTTGTCTAAATTTTGATGAAACAAATCCTCTTTTTTTAAAAAAAAAAGATCCATCAGAAATTAAATGTCTTTGCCATTGAAAATAATGTTTCTATAGGTATTGGTGATGTTGTCAAGTGGCTTCTGGTGGGGTAACAACTTATCCTTAAAGCCCCCGTAGCAAAATTGCAGCCAGGGCTTTCGAAAATCAGTGAAAATCCCAGAGTTAGAATTTAGAAAATGGTACAACGATGCAGTCCAGGCTTGTTGTTGTTTCGTTAGCATTCTCTTAAAAATGTACGTTGGTCGAAATGTGCTTTTATCATGTTGATAGAATTCTTTCATTTTGTTACACTCCTGGCAGGGAGATTTTTAAAAAGCTAGAAACAGAAGACTTGGATGCCGACAGTCAGCCAGATCCAGAAGAAGAAACAAAAAAGAAATTATTTGAGGTGGAGAGAAAAAGACAGGAAGTGTAGACATCACACCAGGAGTGAATTTAATCAAGTAAGAGAAGAAAGGTTTAGAGGCAGAAGTCACAGGTGAAAAAAAAAATCTTCAGTTTGTTTCCATTTCTATCATCATCTGTTGTCTAAAATAGAGTCTATGCTAAAATCTGTTGTTGTTCCCAACCTGAGGTCTCCAGATGTTCTTGGACTACAGCTCCCAGAAATCCTGGCCAGCAGAGGTGGGGGTGAAAAGGCTTCTGGGAGTTGTAGTCCAAGAACATCTGGAGGCCCAAGGTTGGGAACTCCGGCTGGACTAAGAGACAGGCGCACTGGGAACCTCACTGGTTCTCGTTGCACAGGGCTGTCATGCCAGATCGTAAGTGTGGAGTGCAAGACTTCATGACAAAACCCTGGAGAAACTGGGGTCCTCCCCATGTTTCTCCTTGTGTCGTGTGAATGTTGGAGCCAGACGGTGCGAATTGGCAGGGGATGAGCTTTAGATCAGCTCAGCAGAGCAGGTCGGCTGTGGGGCCGAAACCCTGGATTTTCCAAACAAAGCCTGCACGCCAGCTCAGCAGAGCAGGTCGGCTGTGGGGCTGAAACCCTGGATTTCCCAAACAAAGCCTGCACGTAAATCTCTCTCTCACACACACAAACACTGATTTTATGGCCCAGAATGTGAAAGCACACACACACACACACACAAACACTGATTTTGTGGCCCAGAATGTGAAATTAACTAGTTATAAAGAATGAACTACTTGCAATGAATTCCTTTCCTAGTAACAGAGAGCACGATTTTGCCATTGGAACTCAACAAGGGCGAACATTCCTGCTTTTGCTGTGTAGCAGTAACTTCTACTCAGTTTCTAGTTAGGAGGATAAACGTGCTGGACAGCCGAGGAAAGTTACTTTTTTTAAAAGCATGACTCCCAGAATATCTCATCCAGACGTTGGGACGTTCTGGGGGTTTTTAGATTTGATCTTCTGATGGCTGGTTTTCCGACCTTGCCGCCCAAAGGCTTCTGCGGTTGAACCCACAGCACCACCACGTCCCTCGCTGATAAAATAGCATTCGCTATCATCTGCATTTTCCAGCATCGGCAGGGGAGACTTGAAACCGATCTCCCACGGATACAGGGGTCCCACTGTATCTTGAACTGCAGGAAAAGATATAATTAATAGCCTGCCTAATTTTAGTGGGTGTGTTACCTTGAACCAAAAATGCTTTGACAGCAGCGTTTCAGCGGTCTCTGTGCCACCAGCTGATAACCAGGGGTTTTGTCCAGTCTACAAGGGCGCTAAGACCAAGGGATGACAGCAGCGTTTCAGCGGTCTCTGTGCCGCCAGCTGATAACCAGGGGTTTTGTCCAAGCAGTCTACGAGGGCGCTAAGACCAGGGGCGCAAACACACTTTTGGCACAGAAATCATTTTTATCTCTCTCCTCTTCCTCCTTTTTTCCTTCTTCTCCCTTTTAAGACTCGGTCTTGTTCCGACTTTGATACTCACGTTATCGGTGCCCCGTCCCTTTTCATAGGTGGAAAAAACGGGGGGCCGTTGAATATCCCACCCCCTGTGGGAGTGGGGTAGGCTCGCGTACTTTACAAGCTAGCATGCAGGGGAGAAAATAAACTTGCTCCCTCTAGAACAGTCAGTTCTAGAAGGAAGGGAGCCAGATCTGGTCTGCCCCTGCGAAAAGGGGTGTGTGTGCATGCGCGCATGTGTTCGTGTGAGAGAGATACACACAGGGTTTTGTTTCTGTTTTTCAAAATGCTATAAGACAGATGTATCCAGAGTTCAGGTTAACCCTGGTCCAAGCAAAATGGTCAGAGGACAGGTAATTTTCCTGTTTTTTTTTACAGTGATTGTGAGCTTGCCTCTCGAGGTTTATGTCCCTCCGAAATTGCTTGCTCTGAGAGGTATCTCAAACCACCTTTTGGTGTAGATTTCCCCTTAGGACACAATTTCTGGGAGCCTTCAAAAACGGCACCTCAAAGCAGCAGCATAAATTTTTGGAGGTGGGTGGGGAGCCAAAGCAAAAGTTTATCGTTTCTGCCCTCCTCGTTCCTTTGTCGGGCCAAAGTCTGTCTGGACTGGGGTGCCAAACCCGACCGAGGAGCTTGCGGTTTGGAAATCTAGTACAAGGATTCAGATCTGGTGATGGGACGGTTCTTCTCCCAGAAAGACCGGCTCGTTTTTGGTGCCTTAAAAGTCGCTTTCACCCAGTTGGTCAAGAAGCGTTCTCTTCTTTTAGCACCTTAGCTCCTTTCCTCTCCTCTTCGACCTTTCCCGTTGCATCATCCACGTAGATCAATGGATGATTCCCTGTTTGTGAGATTCTGGTCATTGGGGGAAAAGAAACACACACACCCCTTGGTCGAAAGATAGCAGCGCTGGAAGGAAGAGAGGTTTGCATCTCAAAGCTTATCCTTGCTCTTACAAGAGGATTAGGGTCCTCTCCTGAGGTACTGTCGGATTTATGGCGCCCACGTGCCTTTTCTTTTTGTGAGACTGGCCCGTGACCAAAGGGGAGCGTTGCCACCTTTGACGCCAGGGCGTGGAAAAACGGTCGGCAACCCAAGATTCCAATAACCAAATGTGTGAACGTTTGAAACACAAATTCAAGACCATTTCAGTTACCGTTAGAGCCCACAGAAAATGCATCCGAAACGGAATGGCCGTAGCACGCGTGAAGCAGGCTCAACCTTGAGACCTTCAGAGGTTTGGGACTACAGTTCTCATCATCCCCAAGCAATATGGCATAGGGTGATGGGCGCTACAGTCCGCAGGGCCATGCATTGGGGAAGACTGCGACAAAGGTCCACGTTTGACACTCCTTGTTCCCACGTGCAGCCTCCGTGTGCGCTATGAAGTACTGTAAAGGTTTAACACGTTATTTTTATTTTTGGGTGAGATGTTTCTCAAAGTATATTTTACTGATCTTGAGGTTAAAGCCTGAGGCATTTTCCTTGTGCATAAAAACTCCCGTTAAAGCCACCAGTGGATTCCACTTTTTGATGTGCATGCCTTTTATTTTCTATAACCAGAAACCTTTTGAAATTCAGTGTGTTTGGGGACTGGAGCATTTGAGAATGTGATCATTGCTCTTTCCCCCTCTGTTTCTGGGGTTTTAGGGTTTCTCTCCCCTCACTCCACATAGTTTCTAGTTTAATTTCACACAAACCCATGTATTAAAGCACGTCTTAATGTTATGCAGGAGACTTTAACCTTAGATAAGTCACTTTTTTGCATTGGGCCACATGCTTTTTTTTAATGCAGTATATTCACCTTGTAAATACTTTTGTGTAAAATTTGACAGAAAAAAAGGTATATTTACTACACTGTAAATACATGTGACAATATATTGTATTATTTTGCTTTTTTGTAAAGCAGTTAGTTGCTGTACATGTATAACATAACAAAATTTGATGATCTTTAGTGTTTAGTCATTGTTAACGTACTACTCCCTTATGTTGCGTTCTGTCATTTAAAGGAAACGATGCTGTGTACTGTACCTATAAACTTAATGCCATGTATTATAAAACCTTACTACTTCCCTATCAGGGGCCTCAACTCTGAACTTTTTTTTTCTTCTCAGTCTATAATCCTGTTAATATTTGTAAGCGCACGTGCAAGATGCTGCAGATTAAAATCCCTGAGGACTTGCACATTATATGGTTGGTTTGGAGATACATATAAATATATATATATATATATCCAATATATATTGGATATTTTATATATAAAAAAGTAAAAGTAAACTTGTAGAGTTCATTATTTCAAATAATTGTTGTTTATCCCCCCCTTTCCCCCATGTATGTACTTCCCTTTTTTGAAGTAAAGAAAAAAAAGAGTAAATTCAACCTGGCTTTGAGTTGTTTGGGCAGTTCGTCCCATATGGGTTTTCATTTAGGCTGTTTAGTTCTCAGCATTTGGCCCATGGCTTTGTCGTGAAGTCTGAAATACAGAACCCTGATTTTGAATGGGGGCGAGAGAAGATAAAGGAACACAGCTCTGTGGTCCATGTGCAGAGTGCAAAATCAGGGTTGGCAATACCTGTTAGATTAGTTTAGGCATCTGTCAGTCTCAAGAGAATATGGTAATGTGCTCTGTATGGAGGACTTGGAACAGCGTCTACTGTGGCTGAGAAGGCCAACTCGAGAGTGACCGTCCCTTCCACACTGAAGACAAATACAATCTGTACCCCGTCTAGCTCCCTGATTTTGCTGCTTTCGGGACCGCCTCTTGGCCTCGGCCTGCTGGACAAGTGCCTCTTCAAATTGGCCTCTCCCAATTTGAAGAGGCAATACCTGTTATTGCATCACAAAAATAACAAGAAAAAAAGGAAAGCTTTTGAGCTGCCCAACTTAATCAGCTTAAGGCGAACTGTTCAGAGTGTTAGTCAGGTTTTTCCTCGAGGGATGCAAAACTAGATTTTGCCACCTCTGCAGATAAAAGGGCTGCCATCTGCGATCATGAAGGTACAACAACCCTTTCACACCAATAATTTAACTGCAGCTGCCCCTATGCTGGGTTGAAAAACAGGCTTTCCAGGAAAAAGCCAAAGGCCCACTTTACAGCTTCTGTCTGAGCACCAAACTCT